GGGGGGGGGGCGCAGGGGTGCCCCAGCCTCACCCACAACCCTGACCCCAGCGGGCCCCTCCTAGTGAGACCAGCCGCCCGAGGGGGTGGAGGGCTGGCGCGAGGAGGCCGAGGTCTCACCCACAGAGGCTGGGACGTTCCCCCTGGGTCCCCGGCCCTGGCCATCCCCGGGCCCCAGAACCAGCGCCGCCCACCCACCTTCTGGATGTAGCCCCCGAAGTGCATCATGTTGGAAAGGGCCTTCTTCTTCCGGGCCTCGTCTTCTGCCCGCCTCCGGCTCTCCTCTTCCTCTCGCCGGGCTCGTTCCTCCTGGCGGGGGGCGCGGCAGGTCAGGGGCCGGGGCCAGACCCTGGTTCTGGGCTTTATGGGTGGACCAACCGCTTCCTCTCCACGCGGCTGGAAGTTTCCAAGGTCCCCGCACAGGGCCTGCCCCTCGGGGGCTGTGGGGCCTCTGACGTTCGAGTGAGTGAGCCCTGGCCCCGGAGCTGAGGCTCATCACCCCTCGGCCCAGGAACAGGGCAGGGGGGCCGTCACCTGGCAGGTGGCCCCGGCTGGGGAAGGGACATGCGGGGAGTCCCTTAAAATACTGAGCTCACGCAGACCACGGTTCTGCCTCCCAGCTCTCCTGCTTGTTGCTCTTGACGGAGTCAGTGTCTGTGAGTAGAGGGGCTGGGGCCGCGGGAGCTGGAGCTGGGGGGCTCCCTGGGCGGGCGAGGGGGGTCACTCACTGCCAGCCGGGCCTGCCGCTCTTTCTCCCGCTCGCTGCGGATGCGCTGCTGCTCGGCCCGCTCCGCCCGCCGCTTCTCCTGGGGAGGGCGGGTCATCAGAGGACCGACTGGGGAGAGCCGGGCACAGGAGCCCACCGGGGACGCCCCTCCTGAGCCTGAGGCTTGGCGTGGGAGGGCTGCGGACAGAGGGGGTGTCAGGGGGCAGCTGGGTGGGACGCGGGACACCTACGATCCTGTCCTTGAGTGAGATGAGCTCCTCTTCCTCTTTCTTGCGGTTCTCAAAATGAGCCTCGATCAGCGTCTGCAGCTCGTTCAGGTCCTTCTCCATGCGCTTCCGGTGGATGTCCTGCGGGGGACACGGGCTCCAGGGGGGGGCACATGCCTGGGGCCCAGCCTGGCCGGTGCCAAACGCCATCCCGTGCCACCTTCTCCCAGCCCACAGGTCCTGAGGTCTCCCCCTCTCATCGGGGGCCCTCGGGACGGCCCCAGCCCAGGCCTGCCCTCCCCACAGCCCCCGCTCACGTCGAAGTCCACTCTCTCTCCGTCAGGGATCTTGGGCGGCACCAGGTTGGGCATGAACGGCCTGTTGGAGGGAAGTAGGAGCTGAGCACCAGCCTGTCCTGGGCCCGGGCGCTGGGGTGCCTGGTGCAGGCAGGGCCCCCGTTTCCTGCAGAGCTCGGTCACCACTGGGGTGTCTGGGCTGGGCTGGTCACAGTCTGCCCCCCTGAACCAGGAAGTGTGTCCCCCCAGTGCCCACCGTGCCACCCACCCCTGCTGGCCCTCTGCTCCCAGGCCTTGCCACAGGTATGTCCTGCTCACCTGGGCTTGGGTTTGGACTCCTCCACGGGGCCATCTGCAGAGGAGAGAAGCACACAGCCACGGGGTCAGGAGGCCCGGGCCTGGTCCCAGCTCTGTCCCGATGGGCTGGGTTACTATGGGCCTCTACTTCCCCATCTGCACAGTAAGTCCCTTCCAGCCCTGAACTCCCAGTTCCAGCAGCACCCTCGAGAATTAAGGCCCAGGGCTGCAAACCCATTCGCCCTCTCGTAGCGACTCCCAGGGTGCAGTCTCCCTGGACTTCCCGGGGGCAGGATTCTAATCCTGGCTGGCTGCCCCTCCCCCCAGAGGTGTGACTGTGGCCACAGAAGTGACCGCCACGTGGACCCACTATGCCTTGAGATTTTACCCTACGGACCCCGCACCCTGTGAGTGATTCTGCCTGAGCTCCCAGAACCTCATGTGTGGATATGACGGCTGGGAGCTCTGCCCAGAATGGGGACCTGGACACCGGTCACCTCCCCCACGGGGGAGCCCAGGGCAGCTGCTCTGGAATGAGGAGGGACAGAGGCGTGGAGCCAAATGTCACGAACCTACACAGTGACCAAGTCTGTCCTGACCCGCAAGCCCTTCTCCCCTATCTCCCTGTGAGCCGTCTCCCCCAGGGCCTCCAGGAGGGTCCCCTCAACACCCCAAACCTCTCCCCTGGCACCCAAGGGTCACCTTCAGCCTCTTTAACTTCTTCTTCTTGTCTGTTGTCTAAACAAAAGGTGAGAAATTAATACAGTCCTGGTTCTAAGCTCAGGTCCCCCCTCCAGGAGCCCCCCATAGACAGGGCATGACTCAGTGCACCTGCTGGTTTCTGGGGTCACGGAGCTGTCGGTTCACACACACGCACACACGTGCAAACACGCATGCACACACGCACACATGCACACAGCCACACATGCACACACATGTGGGCCCTGGGCCTGGACCCCGCCCAACACAGGAATGGCTGTGGGGCTCTGCTCCCCGCCTGCATGCGTCACAGCCCCGCACCCTCCCCCGGAGCCCCACCGTCTGCGGTGGTCGCCTCAGCCTCAGCCTCAGCCTCAGCCTCTTCTCCTGCTGTCACCTCGTCCGCTGCCTCTTCCTGCTCTGCAGAAGTGACAGACACAGTGACAGAGTGACAGACGCAGTGAACACCCAGGCCCCGCCCCCGCCCCCGCTCCCGGCAGCTCCCAGGACAAGAGGGGTGGGCATGAAGCAGAGTCATGGAGACCTGCCCTCCACCTGGACGCCATGGGGGCTGGACGTCCGGGGCGGGAGCATTTAAAGCTTCCCATGGTTAAAAACATAGGGAAGAAAAATAATAATTCATTGGAAAACGTGGTGATTCTGTTTGAACAGGGGGGTGGTGGACAGTAGAGACAGGTTTAACCCTGCCGTGAACCTGAGCTACCAAGGTCGGGGCTGGTCCCCCGTAGGAGCCACAGGTGTGGAAGGAGCTTTGCTCCGCTGAGAGGGACAAAGACAGACAGACAGCTCCCCTGGGCTCCCGGGAACCCTGGGCTCCTGGGGCCCCTCCCACCTCCCACCATCAGCCCAAGCTCCGTACCTTCCTCAGCCTCTTCTGCTCCGAGGTCACAGCCGCAAGAGAGAGACAAGAGGTGGGTCAGTTTCCAACCAGGCCCCCTTCACCCAGATGAGTGTGCAGGTGGGTGCTTACCTTCCTGCTCCCTGCGGGCAAGAGACGACGGTCAGGAATGTGTGCACTCACACTGCCACACACACAC